CCTGCTAAATGACATGGTACATTTGACCTTTTTCCGCATTGAAATAAAAGATATATTGTCAGTGACACTATTTTTAAGTCAAGCTCCTTCTTAATTTTCCTGAACTTTCCATCTGGTGCTTAAAGAGGGCTTTAGAGGAAATTATTAGTATTTGCAATTATTATTTGATTTCTGTACCTGGGCCTCTTGTATTAAATTGCTGGTCTTAAATCAGAATTGCAAAGTGCTCTCTGTGTCCCTTATCTGTCCTCAACCTGCCTCTCAGCCAAGGCTGTTCGGAGGTTGTTTGAGGATGTAGTTAAAAGCTCCTGTGTCAGCAAGTGACCGCCCTGCTGAAGTGTACTGGAGGGAGAATCTAAATCTGGCAGCATACAAAAGAAATGTTTTCCTTTTAGGTCTTTTAGGTAACTAAAGATAAAGTTCACTGTGAAGTTCACACTTGTTTTTCTTTCAGCCATGTCTGGAATGGACGTCCCACTGGTGGACCACAACGACACTGGAGTCTCTTCAATAGACATTGGGACCTTCCTGCGTTTCTCTCCAACCTCGGCCTCCACATCGGCCGCCGCCTCGTCCCCAGGACGTCCAGGCAACGTGTACGTCTACGTGTGGCTCTTCCTCGGCCTGCTGGTGTTCCTGCTCACGCTGCTTATCATCTCCCTCCACAGGCTGAAGAACATCATCTCCTCCTCCTCCTCGGTTCCCGACTGCAGCAGCGAAGGGGGGAGCTCCTTCACCAACATGGAGATCTGTAGCATCTCCTCCCAGAGGTCCACCATCTCCTCACTGTCCACCTGAGGGAGGGAGATGGGGAGACATATGGGCGTGTATGTCCATTTGCATGTGTGCTCAGACATGCAAGCATGCACACACAAGCTCCTCACTCTTCTCTGTGACATACAAACACAAACTTTACTTCATGCATGCATGGCTCTACTTCCCATGCATGCATAGTCTATAGTCCTGATGGTCCAGTGAGTCACAAGGCGTGAGTGTGACTGAGCCTTATTTCACGGACTGTGAGACAAAGCTGAAATTTGCCTTCCCTCTGCAGGAAAAAGGAGGAACTATGATCTTTCCTAATCCATTTTTGTAAAAGTCATTTCTTGTGCTGTACCTGTCATATTTACGATAGAACAAATGAAGTGAATCTTTGTACAGCATGTCTCATAATGTCAGTAGACTCAACTGCAATAATCAGCATTAAAATATTACCAATATCACTTTGTACAGACATGCATGAGATTAGACAACTAGAGATGCTGTAACTCATTTTACTTGTACCTAGCGAAAGGTGAGATATCTTGAAAAGTGTTTAAATGCCACATTGGTTCATGATTTTGGCGAGAAGATGTTGCACAAAGGAGACGGAAGACGCGGTGAAGGTGAGAGAGAAATGAAGGTTGTCAAGTATTGACGGGCACGCAGCCTCCGACTGCAGCTGCGGACAGACCGGGTCAAAAGTGTCAGAAACTACAAGATTAAATTCAGCCCTGAAAGACAGGACTACCAGCGGAACGGATAACCCTCTCTTGCCTGTCAGCTCATATGGCATCTGATCGCAGTCTCCATAGTGACTGAAGCATGAGCACTCCAGCTGTCAGCCATGTGTGTGTTCTAGGCTTAAAGCAGTAATGGTTGTTCCTGCTCAAAATACATTGTTTAAAAAAGAAATACTGTGAGATATTGATTTTTTTTGACATGGCAAAAATACTCCTCACATTCTTCACCTCAAACCATAGGGAAAAGGTTCTTTCATCATTTTCACAAATTTTAAAAACAGTCAAAAAACCATTTCTTTTCGTCTGATATACACATTGAAAATAAACTTGTGACCAATGACACGTCAAGTCATCAAATTCTTTGCATATTTTATTTTTCTTATCATCATTTTTTTTCAACTCACACATGTCATATTTTACATCTTTGCAATAAAACATGAATACAATAGTTTTTAGGGTTTCATAGATCCAAAAATATTTAACCTTTTTTTTGGATACGTAAGTCGAACCTGTTGATAGAGTATGTGCATGTGCGCATTTGATCAAGATGGCTTCACACATACAGTACGTCCCACACGTCATCCCGGCGCCTGCCTCCTTCCCCCGCCTCTATCAGCTACAGAATCATGATATTGCTTACAACTGTGAGGTTGTAAAACTTAATAATCACACATGAGCTCAACGTTTTAAATACAAACATCAATGCACAAATAATCCCGCAGGGGGGAAAAAAAATGGACCTAAACAAAATGGCAGCCGACCAGAAAGAACCAAGCTAATAAATAATGATATGTGATTGGTGCAAAGTGCAAATACAAAACAAACTTTTACATTGATTTGATTCTCTTTTTTTTTTTAAATAATCAACAAATGTGGGTAAGTGAAGGTTTCCGTTGCGGCTTCAGTCTTATTCAGCTGATTAAGTCTCCCACCGAGCCTGAACCAAGACTATATGTACATATTTGACAAAACAATCACCAAATATACAAAGGAAATCATGTCAGTATCGTGGTCGTCATCCGTGGTGGCACTGGAAAGACCGCTTCATTGTTACTATCTCCGGCAAAACAATCACCATCCTTGACACTGTCGTTATTACCATCAGTCTTGTCAACATTATAATAATTATTACACAATATTTTACATACAGCAAGTCATTAATAAATTAAAGGTGATAAGCGCAGTTTGTGTAGTGAAAGAACAAGTGTAGACTCTGAAGGAAGCAGAGTCGTATTTACATAAACATCAGACTTAACCCTGCTGTGGGTAAAAGAAAACAAATTAAATTAGAAAATGAAATAAAAATCAATTAGATAAAATAAAAATAAAAATCATACCCCCCAGGCCATTTTTCACAGGTGAATTTAAGATCAAGCCAAAAGCACCGCTATTTGAACAGTGGGTGGGGCCGGTTCACTATTCTAATCCGTTTAGACACATTGAAGGAGTCTTAAATTCAGAGTCCACTCAAATACTTCCTCCTCCGCTCAAACGAAAAGTACAGAACAAAATTTGAAAGCAAGAAGAAAAAAAGAGAGAGAAAAACTTAGGTTCATAGTCTGTGAAGCATTAAGCGTACCTGGAGCAGCAACTGCACCAGTCCTGTGAGTGGCTCGGGTAGGATCGATCTCTACAGCGCCTGCTTGACTTGCTCTCTTTCCCCATTCTGCAGTCTTGTCTATTTTATTAGCAGGTTTTGGTGTGTATCTTCGGAGAAGGGGGGGGGGTATTATGTGTCTGTGGTTACACACGTGTGTAGTTTCACGCGTGCACGAAGGAAGTTTTTTTTCCAGCAAGCTTCTCAACAGATTAGAGCCTAGGGTCCAGTACTTGTTCTTCTCTTCCTCTCAGTGCCTGTCGTTTCCCCGCATCGCAGATACACAGCAGACTGCAATGTCTCCTTTTTCATCTCTCGTTCTTCTCTCCTTTCCTCTTCCTCAAACCGTCCAACCTCAGTACCTGTTCTGGTGTTCGTAGTGCCAGCGGTTGAAGTCTATGTTAAACGCCACAATGCTGCCGGACGCCATGCCAGTGATCAGGGTCCTGAGAGAAGAGCAAACAGAAAGTCACATCTTGAAAACAAACTATAGACATTTTCTATAAAATGCAAATTTTTCGGTCTATTTATTTATGAATCATTTCCCGGGGCCTGGGACATAATCTGAGCTTTGATTAAAATAACTGCCTCATTTATGATTATTCAGTATTCTGCCCTGGAGGTGACCCAACTACAGCAGTGCTTTAGAAAACAGCGCCCTGGATTTGCCTGCCTTCTAACAAACCGTCACACCGCCCTCATCTACTTCTGTCTGACACAACCACATCCCATCTGTTTCACCTCTGGTCGTGTGAGAGGTCCATGGCGCGGATGCCGGCATCACAGCCTGGGTAGATGTAAAGCTGTTTGAAGTCGCACGCCTGCCACACTTCCACAACTCCGTTATCACCGCCTGTGACCAAGTTCTGTCCGTCGCTGCTCAGCAGGATCGCCTGGAGCGAGATCGAGAGGAGAAAGAGGGTAAAAGAGGCTCCAGGAACTATATGTATGAATAAGGATATTATTCATACACGCTGCATTAAAAAGATATTATATCATGTTGACGTAAACCGTATCAACCGTGACCGCCTTACCCGTGTGGAGTCGTTGACCTCCATTTGTGCCAGCAGTTTTCCGTTTATGCTGAAGTTGCAGAAGCGGCCTCTCTCGTAGTAGATGATGCAGTGGCCTTCGCTGGACACTGAGATGAGGCGAGGCCGCTGACACAGCTCTGGCCCCTCCAGGGCCCTCAGCAGGTCCCCTGTGATGGTGTGGACCAGGCACGGGCCCTCTGAGGAAGCAGCAATGACATTGACATCGGCGATGGTGAATTTCGTAAACAATACATTTCGTAAAAAACTGTCTGAAGACAGTTTAGAGAATCTGCACAATTCTTTCTGAATTTAGTTTTTTTTAATTTAACGTAGTCAATCATTAAGATCTTGAGCAAAGGGCTTTCAAGTCTTGGCAGAGCACAATAAGAGATTTCAACTTATTTATTGATATTCAAAATTCACTACACACAAATATCAAAAAATTGTGCCCATATTATGCTTTTGTGGTTTTTCCTTTAGTGTGTTTTTGATGCATTTCTAGTGACCTCCAAATCAAAATCATCTACTTAATCTCCAAATCTTTTGCCTCTCTTTGGCACAAACAGATTATGAAAACACACAAACCTTTAGCTCCACTGATGACCAACCCCAGCTCCGCACAGACAGAGACGCACACCACCTCGTGGTCGTGTCCCGTCAGTACTGCCCTGGGAGCAGGATAGTCACCTGAAGGAGAAAACACACACATGTCACCACAAAGCTCTGGTAAGAAGAGCCTCACTCCTGTAAAGCTGTTTATTGAAGTAATCTCTTCACAGGAACATATTCATGCAAACAGAAACATTCACACCACTCTGCCACTCACTGTTATTGGGGTTGTCGCCTATTATGTGGTGTCGTCCACTCCAGTACCACAGAAGAAGAGTGGCGTCTCTGGAGCCAGACACGATGTAGCAGTCTCCTCCGATGTAGGACTCTGACCTCGCCAGACACGTCACCACATCCCAGTGGCCAAAAACGATCTGGGTCAGTTTTCCTGTGGAGAGGAAGCAGGAGGACATTGAGTCTGTGTGTGTGTGGACGCATTCTTTATAAATCCATGTTTTTTTACTCTCTGGGATATAAATGCACTTCAAGATGAGGGTTAGTGAACAGTGTGTCATTGGTTTAAATCTCTGGACTAATAAATACAGCGATGCCTATTTTAAGAGCTCTCCAAATCTCCTGTGGTTTATTAAATTGAAATAAAAATACAAATGCAAATACAAAGTCTGCATGATCCACATGTAAAGTTGGACCTCTGACAGAATAAAAAAATAACTTCTGGCAGCTACTCAACAAAATCCAGAAAATGTGTCATTAACAAAACCAAAAAAACAACGTACCAGTTTCAGTGGAGTAAACACGGAAGCTCTTGTCCCAGAAGCCGCACACCAGGATGTAGCGGTTGTCGGCGGTAACCACAAAACAGTGTGTGTTGATTTGGATGCTCTGGTCGACCAGGTCAGTGATCTGACGCTTGTTCACGCCTGAGTTGTTTGCTGCAGGGGAGAACGGACACAATGTAGGTTAATGAGGGCAAATGGATGCAATAATGTTCTGAAACCTTTGCAGGAAGTTCAATACTCAGGTCAGCGATTTAAATGTATCATGAAATATATTGACTTCAGTCCCGCTGGTGACCTGGCTGCCCTCATTATCTCCTTATAGGAAATTGTGTCCTTGATAACATCATTACTGGAAGCTGGTAATGCTGCAGATACTATCCGTTCAGATCATCCAGCAGTTTTTAGGAACAGATTAGCAGCTAAAAACTTAACACCAGTAAAATCTGCATGTGCACTGACCTATGAGAGGATCCATCTCGATGGGGAGATGATGAGCCTGTTCCAGGGAGTATCCTGGAGCTCCTCGAAGGCCTGGAGGGACAAAGGATTACAAATAAATATTCACATGTACATACATGCATCATAACATGGTGAACGGTAACTACATCCTCTTGTACAATTTACTTGACTAGTGTTCTCTGATGTAATATCCGAAGTGGAAAAAGATAAGTCCCTAATGTGGCAATCAACAAGAAAACCCATTTGAACTGCGTCATGACCCTCAATAATCCCTTTAGCATAGTTAATTAGACCTAGCCTGCTGCGCTAATGAGTCAATTAACTGGGTTAATTTAGACTTTAATTACAAATATTTCCATGTCAACATACAAGATGTGGGGTAAATCAGACTAACAACTAATACAACACAATCAAATACAAAAAACTATGGGCTCAGTGACCAACAGTGACATGAACTCTTATTATACATGTGTCCATAAACTGGTCTAAATTATGTGTCAGTAACAAATCCTCAAAATAAATATTACGATTCTAAAAAGACAAAAGCAGCAAATGTTCATGTTTTAAACAAAAGAACCATCAGGTCTTAGATAAATGACTTTAAAAACCAACTGGTGATTAAAATGGCTGTGGATGTTTGAGTGATCGATTGTCCGAACGATCGCTCCAGCATCATTATGAACTCTGTGTGTTTCTGTATTATCAAATATCAATATCTCACATTGTCT